AATAATAATAATAATAATGCAAAATATGAATTGTGTTTACTTCTTTAAATATTTGAGATTTTTGCTTTCCCCACAATCTTGCACAAGTATTAGAGAGTAAGTCTCTTTTTAAATAATGAATGTGAAACTTCTGCTAAATAAATAAAAGCTGGGCCAAAGGAATTTATATTAATGATCCATTGGGGGAAGAAAGCAGAGGGCTAAATGTGTGTTTGTTAAATGGGTTTATGGTTAAAAATACAGAGATTGTTGTGAACGAGCAAAGGGATAAAATATTAATTTTCTTTCATCCAAGCCAAACTCGAGTTATCAGTTTTCTCAGTTTGTATTTGAGTCAAAATCCCTTTGTAGACTTGTGAGTCCTGTAAATATATTTGTAATAAATGTATGATTCCTAAAAAACAGCTGCACACATTACAAGTCAACAAATGTCAGCCTCAGACAGAAACACTGCTGGCTCACACATGGGCTTTCAAAAAATATCCCAGTTGGGCTCCCATCCAGCAGAGCACTCTTTCTTGTTTTGTCTCATTAAAGGGGAGGTTTAGTCCAGCATTTAGTTAAATTAGTTCCTAAGCTGTTTGTTTAAAAAGCATTCAATAAAGAAATAGTTGAAGGGACGGAGAGAGAAAAACAAGAACTGCCAACATCTAAAGCTCTCTGTAAGGCCAGGAGCTTTTATTTTGGCAGCTTCCCTTTTTGACCTTCTTAATCTGTCCAATCGATTTATACATCTGTCAATGTTTAGTACTCTTTTCCAGTTCTAATGGAAGAGTCATATGTAAAAAAAAAGGTCAACGAAAAATAAAGCTCAGTGCATTCAATGAGTAGACATGGCTGAATCCCTCTAGAGTCACAGCTCTGGCCTGGAAATGAACCAATTCTCAGATTTAAGGGCTGATTTGTCTGAGCTTTGATAGGATGTTGCCCATGTGGGGATATATGTTTGATCATTTTATTGAGGATGGGTGCTGCATGTACATACTGTATATGCTCCAGTAATCAAAAAGTTTGGTAAATCCTATGAAGTTAGGACCTTTCAAAGATCTCCAAAGAGTTATTTGACATTTGTTAAGGGTTAAAGTTTGTATTTGAATGACATTCAGTTTGGGTCCTTTTTTCATGTTCTTTTGTCTGACACACACCCCCTCAGAGGAAAGTTTGATATTGATGATGTGCATGAATGCTTAACAGCAGAGTTAGTGCCGAAACACATTGAATTGGGACGAATATGAAAAGCAGGTGGAAAAATCAGAGAATAAGTCTCATCCAATGTTTGGTTATGTCCTCGTCTATTAAGTCACATTTGTCAAGCACAAGGCCCGCGGGCCAAATGTGGCCTGTGGGTGACTCCCGTGTGGCCTGCCGGGGGT